AGCAGATGTCAATCACAAGCTGGAAGCTGTTACCAATTAACAGTGTCTGTTTCGGATTAAAGTAGGTCACCAATTAGCAAGTGGGGAGCAATTTACACAATCACTGATTGCTTGCGTGTCTCCAGCTGTATAAACCAGTGTATCATAGAGCCGACATCACTTTGTTCCTAGTTTGAAGAACTGTTGGGTACACCTCGCTGATGACAATGATTGTCAAGTATTGGAAATGTATTCTGGAACGTTTGTCAGTCGGTGACATAATAAGAGGTACAGAAAAAAGCTATGTATGCTCTGAATGTCTTCATGATTTGTATGTATTCTTCATTTCACATGTCAACCTGTGAAGATCCGGGGTAGAATAGGTCTTCAGCAACCCATGCTTGTCTCCCCATGAAGATCCGGGGAAGAATAGGTCTTCAGCAACCCATGCTTGCCATAAAAGGTGACTTGACGTAAGGGGCGACTAATGACATTCTCGCTGCATGTCATCGTATCCCATTTGCGTGGATTGATGCTCATGATGACAATCACTGGATTGTCTGGTCCAGACTCGATTATTTACAGACTGCCGTCATATAGCTGGAATACTGCTTAGTGTGGCGTTAAACAACAAACATTTCTCATGTCATAATGTAGCCTTGAGCTGGTTGGTTGTGGTTGTTTCTGAACTTCTTTTACATATGTTTTTTTTTTTAACTTTCTAAATATTCCAAAAATGTGATGTGATACCAAGGAGGGATTAAGCTGTGGGGTCTTTCAGCTTTTTGCAGTGTAGACATCGTAATGAATGCCTTGTGTGAGTTACCAGACAGAGTAGCAGACATGTATTGAATCAGTCTTGCTAGGTCTGTACATTTGCCTGATCCAAGCTCCTCTGTAACGACTTGCCTTGTGTCCACCATCATCAAAGTTGTGAATTTTACAATGTGTTGGGGAAGAAAAGAGTTATAGGGATATCCTTGTCTCTTTTTCAAACACTTGAACATATTTTCTATAAAACAATCACCCCTAATCCATCCTCATCCCTTTCTCACCTCCACAAGCAGCCTGTTCTCATCCCTTTCTCGGGGGCACGGGTGGCCCAGTCGTCTAAGGCCCCGTGTTTCGCAATGCAGAGTTGCGTCCCTTGGGCACGCCAGAAACCTATGATTGTGGGTTCGAATCCCGGTTTGCCCCGATTATGTTTCTAAGTTTGTCAGCACCATACCCGTGCTCGTGGGTTTTACCGAAGTGGTAAACATCTGAGACCTGCATCACTTAGGGCTTTCCTCCCACATTAAGCTGACACGCCGTGATATAACTGGAATACTGTTAAAAGAGGCGTTAAACCAAACTCACTCACTCACTCACTCACTCTCATCCCTTTCTCACCTCCACAAGCAGCCTGTTCTCATCCTGAAATATATTGAGAGACGTTGGGGTTCCTTGGTTCCATGAAAGCTAGGTATTGACAGTATTGACAGTCTCAGAAAGTCTGGTTTTTCAAGACTAATCGGGAGGACCAGCATAAACTTTATGTCACTGGCCCTGAGGGTTTGAAGCTAGTCCTGCTTGAACAAGACAAACATGTTTACTAAATGTTTCAGTTTTATTCAGTTCCAATGTGTAGCTAAATTGAAGCACTTAACTGGTTCAGAATTGTGGTCCTTAAATGCAACAAGTCAATGAGGACTACCAAAATTGGATTTTCACTTGTCCTCAGCACATTTGAGAAGCCTCGGACACGCAGACTAGCATGAATTTCGGAGGCTGCATCAGCAGCTCGGGTGCAGTCAGTGGGATGCCACGCTTCATTTCTAGGTTATGTCCTTTGTAGAATGGGGGTATACAGCTCTGATGGTCTGCAAGCTGGATATCTTTATGAGCTGTATACAAGTATCGAGATGTTGGTGTGAGGCCAACCGTTGAATGTAACTTCATGTCGATACAGAAACTGCACTTGTCTGACTTGTCAGCTATTTCTGCTGTGGATGCGGGCAAGGACGACTACATCCAACGTGTGTATTGTCCTGTGAAAGATCAAATCAAAGAAATCATTCTGTGATTGTCCTTGGGACAGAGGAAGTTTCTATAGAATATCCCTGAGACAGGGACTTTCTTTAGAATATCCCCAGGACAGATATTCTGGAGAAAATCCTTGCTGATAGAATACTCTTTGAAATGAAGGCCAGTGAGAGCAATAGGATGACGTCACGAGAAGTTTATAAGCTGGAATGTTTGTGACAGCAACATTAAACAACATTCATAGCGGTAGAAATTGGCGCTCGTCTTCTCATCCTTGCCAAACTGCCCAATAGTGAAGGTATCATAAGGACAAGTAGATATTTGCTATTTTTAAGGATTTTGCTGTATGTTATCAGTATAATGAGTGAGTGAGTATGGTTTTACGCCGCTTTTAGCAATATTCCAGCAATATCACAGCGGGGGACACCAGAAATGGGCTTCACACATTGTACCCATGTCGGGAATTGAACCCGGGTCTTCGGCGTGACGTGCGAACGCTTTAACCACTAGGCTACCCAACCGGCCCGTTATCAGTATAAGGAGTAGTGGACTAAAAGTGTTATTCACTCACTCACTTCAAGAGTGAGTCCATCTAGCTGTATCATCCATCAGCATCCATGCACAAAATATGGTCTCTGCATACTGGAGCAGGCCCCGGTGCAGGCCCCGGTGCAGCTCCCGGTGCAGCTCCCGGTGCAGGCCCCGGTGCAGCTCCAGGTGCAGGCCCCGGTGCAGCTCCCGGTGCAGCTGGGATGGAGATGGACTGATTGCGATGGCACTGCCAGGAGGTACAGCCCATGGTCCCAGCTGGGATGGAGATGGACTGATTGTGCTGGCACTGCCAGGAGGTACAGCCCATGGTCCCAGGAATCACTGTTCACTGTCTGTGATGGCGGGCTCTCCCTTGTCAGGTCAAGGTGACCTCACCCAGTTATTGAGTTGGGGCACCAAGCCTTTCTTAAATTACATGGTCTCATTATCAGATCGTCTTTGTGGAACCGCTAATGTTATCCAATCTTCAATCAGTTATATTCGTTTTCACTCATGCGCTTTAGTGACAGCCTTGAGGTGTAAGTTCATATTGATTTTTGTTATTATTTTTAATAATTCGATTTTGTACAGAGTGTTATTATTTATGTATTATTTAATGTTTGGTATTGAATGGTCTGAACAGATTTAAGGTTAAATCAGTGTATGACTTGTTATGTTCCACTGTTTGTACAGTATAGTAGGGCTGTGAACATTGTATTGCAATACAGATATCTGCATTGTGATATGTATTGCAGTCTTTGATGATCAGGGGTAGTATAGGTCTTCAGCAGCCCGGGCTTGCCATAAAAAGCGACTATGCTTGTCGTAAGAGGCGACTAACGGGATCGGGTGATCAGGCTCGCTGCCTTGGTTGCTGCATGTCATCATATCCCAATTGTGTAGATTGATGCTCATGATGTCAATCACTGGATTGTCTGGGCCAGATTGGTTATTTACAGCTGTCATATGGCTTGATTATTGCTGAGTAAGGCTTTAAACAACAAACAAACAAACAAAAACAAACAAAATGATACATATTGCGATATATTGGAGCTAAAGAGTTTGACACTGATTGACACTGATTGTACAAGCAACTCCTATTTTCTTATGACTTACCAAAGTAAATATTACAATGTCAAAGTCAGCTTGGTCAATCGCTGCCATTTTGCAGTCATGGATACAGGGGAGATAACATACTTTTTCTGTGTACAATTTAGGTTAAACGATACAAATAATAACAAAACTTGTTATATAGTTTTTACCTAAGATACCGGAACACAGAAAAAATATTGCAATATGTAACGTTTGAATGGCTTGTTGCAGTATATCAGTAATGCCATGCAGTCCTACAGATTATAATTATTCCTCGTTTTAGGATGGTTTGTTTTCTATTGTTATTGAAAGGCAATTCTCAATTGACCATGTTCTGACTCTTAACTGGGCGTCGGGGTAGCCTAGTGGTTTAAGCGTTTGCTCATCATGCTGAAGAGCCTGGTTCGATCCTCCACATGGGTACAATGTGTGAAGCCCATTTCTGGTGTCCCCTGCCGAAATATTGCTGGAATATTCCTGAAAGCGGCGTAAAACCATATTCTCTCATTCTGACTCTTATCAATTTTTTATAATTTGCTTGATAGCGGTGTTAGAATCTACACCGAAACGTAGCACAATTGTAATAAAGAAGTTGCTCATCCATAACAATTTTGTCTTAATTTTTTGTTCTTGAAGACCAGGTGGACATTATGCTGCTATTCTCATCATTATTATGGGTTAGACAGAGCATACCTTGGTTGTGTAGATATTTTTGTGTTTGGTTATTTGCAATATGAGATCATAAGCAGTTCTTGAATGGGTACCCGGTAGAAACTAACTGTTAGGTACATATGCACTGTGCAGAGATCTGTGGCTGAGGTAGGGTATCAGAAATACAGTACAGCTTGTTGTATTGTTGGTGTAGTCAAGAATCTGGCTGTTAATGTGAATGTAAAGTGGACAATTTGTTGAACTGAGTTAGAAAAGCATTTGGAAAGTCCCGGTCAAATCCAGGGCTTGACTCAGATAGTCACACATAGCAAAGTTCAGTTGACATCATTCCTGCTACGTCACAGCAGCATGTAAATAATAAAGTCTGGGCCAGAAAAAACAGTGGTTGATATTTTGAGCAAAGATGTCTGTCATTGGGGTACAATGACATGCAATCCACCAAGTCATTGGACTTGACCACTTGGTCAGGTTCAGTCACCATTTTGACAAGCAATAGAGTGGTGGAGTCCTTTACCGTGACCAGGTCCCCACAGGACATTGCAGCAACTGACAGACAAGATATACCTCCAGTTCTGTTATTAGAACGACAGGTATCAGCCTCTCAGACTAAATTAAATGTTTCAGCAATGATTCCAATGTTAACTCTTCAATGTTGTGTATCAATACTGAGCTCTTTTCTAACCTTCCACATTGTGTTTCAGGAACTGAGGAGGAAGCGATGTCGTCTCCGCGGGACCTCCAGGATTTCCTGGCGGAAGCGCAGTTGGAGCATTACCTCAGTGGGCTCCGCAATGAGCTGAAGATCACGTGCGTGGACCACCTGAAATATGTGAAGGAGGAAGACCTGGAGGCCATCGGCATGGCCAAGCCAGAGATGAGGAGGCTGAAGAAGTTCTACAAGAAGGAATGTCCACAAGGAACCTTTGGAAAACTCAAGAAGGTACAGTGATCTTTACCTTTACTCACAAGTGATTTGTGGGGGCAGGCTGGCTTTGTGGTCTCAGGTGCTGTGAATTACTGTGCAGAGTTGTGTTCCTTAGTTGTGCCAGGATCCATGATTGTGGTTCAATTCCCAGATTTGTCCCTTGGGATGGGTTCAGCAATGTAAACATTTATGATATCCACTACTTGGGGATTTCCTCCTTCATTAATCATATTAAAGTTTGATTTTGATCGTAAAGAGATAAAAAAAATTGAATCATGGCTTAGTTTGGGTTGTAAAAATATTATAAATCTAAAATCTAACAGAATTTCATTGGCATTTTTATTTTCAAAGCTATATTTACTGTAGGCAGTGAGAAAAAACCTTGTCATTCTGATTTTGTTTTTCTTCTAAATATACTTTTTTATGTTGGCGAATCCATAGACCAAGCCAAAAATATGGACGGTCTAACAGACCATGTTACATGAAATACTATCTAAAGCAGTCTTAATCCCAGCTCACTCTGTCAACTACCTTTGATTATGAACAGGAACTTGAGGAGATCCTACAAACTTTGCATAATGTTAGTAGTGTATAGGCCAGGGCTGAGTATAGGCATTGCATATGTTAAATGTTGTAGCATCAGGGTGAATCTAATCTTTGTCAAGTTCCGAGATGATTCTGGCTGGACCTGTGGTGGTGTTTCTCTGAAACAGTAAAGAAAACACATGGCCTCACATCAAAGATTCACAAATAGAAATGGAAACCTGAATACACTGTAGCACACACTTGCAGATGGACTTCCACAATATCTGCCTTGTCAGAACTTTATGTTATGAATCATATCTAAAGTGGATCTGGTTAAAAATATATTTTTTCATATTTTGAACTCGAACTCATATGATTCGGAACAATGGGATAGTATATTTGCTTCAGGTTATCATCTTCATCTGATATAAGGATGACCCAAGGGGTCCGAGCTTTCACACGCTAGATTGGCATTGTACGTGAGATTCCCCCAGGCCTGGTTGTAGGAACTAAGTAATGAGGTCATCTTCAAAGCTATTGAACTGATTCTATCATTGTAAGGCGGATGGAAAAGGTAAAATATTAATACGAGGAACATATGTAGAGATGTTTACAACTTGCTTAGAAAGGGATTTCCTGTTTTGGTTATGCAGAAATATTTTAAGATAAAGTAAGGGCTATTCTTGTGCAGCTGAAGTTTAACTGAGTATGAGTCATCAAACTTAAAGAGGAATATTCGGGAAGATTTTGACCCTAGAAATACAGAAAAAGACAATTTAAGCAATAATAACAACAATTTATGTTGTTTGGTATTATTTTCAGAGATATATAAAGATAAATAATTTTATTGAGTAGCTTTTGATGGATGTCAATGTTTTTGTTGCTCTAAAGACTATTTTTTCTACAAAATAATGAAGAAGTTGTGGTATGGTTTAATATGTTATTATGGTTGCAAATTATTGTACATCAAGATTTAGGTTTAGGTTCCTTACAGTTTGGAATAAAGTTTGTTGAGAAATTATTTCAGTAACAAAACATGTATCTTTTCACAAGTCGTTGTGTCCAGGCCCTGTGTCGACCTGAATAACAAAAGGACATCCCAGCAACCTATACATGTTGTCCAGGGAGATCGATTGCCTCTCATCGTATCCTGATGGTGTGGGATGTAGCTCATAATATCGATCGACCCGTGAAGATCCGGGGTAGAATAGATCTTCAGCAACCCATACTTGCCGTAAAAATGCTTGTTGTAAGAGGCGACTAACGGGATCGGGTGGTCAGGCTCGCTGACTTGGTTGATGCATGTCATCGATCCCAATTGCGTGGATCGATGCTCATGATGTCAATCACTGGATTGTCTGGACCAGACTCGATTATTTACAGACCGCCGTCATATAGCTGGAATATTGCTGAGTACGGCGTTAAATAACAAATCAAACCAAACCAAAACATAATATCGATCACTGGATTGTCTTGTTAACTCAATTAATTTCATGCCACCAAATTTGTTGAAGATTTCAGAGTATGACATTATCTATATAACTTGTTGCACAGTGGTTTTTGCTTAGTAATATGATCTCTGTTATCTGTCTTCAAGATGAATCCTCCCCAACCCTTTCCACATCAGGACTAGACTTGCACAAGTCTCTAAGGCAATAATTATTAGTTTAAATCGTAATTTCTAGATTATGTAAATTTTAAGAATAATGTGTCCCTTTAAGAGACTGGCGTCCTTAGTACCGTCCACATATCTAGACTTGCTATTATATCTAATAGGAGGATGGAATTACTACACATCCATAGACTTTCTTTCAGTACAGCCTTGGAGCAAGGCTACGTAAGGACCAGCACTGAGCCTGTTAATGGAATGTAATTTTGTAAATTGAAACTCCACAATCTCTGCTCAGATCCGAGCAAATTCTGGCCGCCTGAGGATATAGTAAATTAACAAACAAATAAACAATAAATAATTGTACAATAAATAGAATTTACACCTTATCTGATATGACTAACTGAATACCACAACCTGGTACAATGATATATTCATGAGATTGTGCACACATTCCATGCAAGTAAATGGTGACCTGTCCCCATGGTTTAGTGTATGTGAGTCACAGGATAGTGTGGTGTGTGGCACCTGCAAAGTGTGGTATGGTGTGACCTGTCCCCATGGTTTAGTGTATGTGAGTCACAGGATAGTGTGGTGTGTGGTACCTGCAAAGTGTGGTATGGTGTGACCTGTCCCCATGGTTTAGTGTATGTGAGTCACAGGATAGTGTGGTGTGCGGCACCTGCAAAGTGTGGTATGGTGTGACCTGTCCCCATGGTTTAGTGTATGTGAGTCACAGGATAGTGTGGTGTGTGGCACCTGCAAAGTGTGGTATGGTGTGACCTGTCCCCATGGTTTAGTGTATGTGAGTCACAGGATAGTGTGGTGTGTGGCACCTGCAAAGTGTGGTATGGTGTGACCTGTCCCCATGGTTTAGTGTATGTGAGTCACAGGATAGTGTGGTGTGTGGTACCTGCAAAGTGTGGTATGGTGTGACCTGTCCCCATGGTTTAGTGTATGTGAGTCACAGGATAGTGTGGTGTGCGGCACCTGCAAAGTGTGGTATGGTGTGTCCTGTCCCCATGGTTTAGTGTATGTGAGTCACAGGATAGTGTGGTGTGTGGCACCTGCAAAGTGTGGTATGGTGTGACCTGTCCCCATGGTTTAGTGTATGTGAGTCACAGGATAGTGTGGTGTGTGGCACCTGCAAAGTGTGGTATGGTGTGACCTGTCCCCATGGTTTAGTGTATGTGAGTCACAGGATAGTGTGGTGTGTGGTACCTGCAAAGTGTGGTATGGTGTGACCTGTCCCCATGGTTTAGTGTATGTGAGTCACAGGATAGTGTGGTGTGCGGCACCTGCAAAGTGTGGTATGGTGTGACCTGTCCCCATGGTTTAGTGTATGTGAGTCACAGGATAGTGTGGTGTGTGGCACCTGCAAAGTGTGGTATGGTGTGACCTGTCCCCATGGTTTAGTGTATGTGAGTCACAGGATAGTGTGGTGTGTGGCACCTGCAAAGTGTGGTATGGTGTGACCTGTCCCCATGCTTTAGTGTATGTGAGTCACAGGATAGTGTGGTGTGTGGTACCTGCAAAGTGTGGTATGGTGTGACCTGTCCCATAAACAGGTAAACAGATAATAATTATCACAATTTAGCATTAGAAGCTCTGTGAAGATCGAATCCATTCCCACAGTTTATGTGACAAGTAAGGGGAAACTACTGTTGTATGGTGAAGAAATACAATCTTACAAGAGTCTGCAACATTTTAGTGAAGCTATATATTATTTTTTGTTGTTGTTGTTGTTTTTTCACATAATCGTCAATATGTTTTGGAAGGAATACACACATTTTCAATACATGGTCATCTTTGGGATATAAAAAATAACATCTTCTCTCGTAAGGGAATTGATTGAACACTATACCCAGATATATAAGATTATAGATTATCATGTTGAGTACCATTTAACATTTGTCTGGATGATTTTGGTTGGTTGGTTGGTTTGTTGTTTAACGCCGCACTCAGCAATATTCCAGCTATATGATGGTGGTCTGTAAATAATCGAGTCTGGACCAGACAATCCAGTGATTGACATCATGAGCATCGATCCACGCAATTGGGATCGATGACATGCATCAACCAAGTCAGCGAGCCTGACCACCCGATCCCGTTTGTCGCCTTTTACGACAAGCATAGTCGCCTTTTACGGCAAGCATGGGTTGCTGAAGACCTATATCCCCGATCTTCACGGGATGATTTCGGAAAATAATTATGAACCGAGGTCAGGCTAAGTGGTTTCTGATGATGACAGGTTCTGTAAGCCGCTGTAGTATTGTTCATCATGATATTTATGTTCACTGTGTGGTCTCATTGTTCATTGAAAGCCCCCCGGGTTCAGAATACGTCGCCAGCACCCTATTGCTGGCCATAGAGAGAGGACTCGATTGGATTGGCTGGTTAGACTTAGGGTCAGGGTTGACTGAGTATTATTGTACCACAACAATATGAGATGTTGGTCATAATATCAACCACTGGTTTGTCTGGCCTAGATACAGGCTGACATGATTCAGGTGGAGTATTGCTGACTCATGACAACAAACAAACAAACAAATGCACAAGGCCTGCTGTGTTCTGTTGAGACGTTGCTGGAGGTTCAAGGTTCTCAGTTGGAGAGAGTGGTTCTGCTTTTGTCTTGAATGATTTGATGTCATCGCATCATGACGGAGGGGATTGTTTTTCGTGTTTTTTGTTGTTCAGATTATTTACACATCACTGTGACGTGTCTGGAATATTGTTGACTGTGGCATAAAACAATATTCACTCACCCATTAATTGCATAGTGGTTGTCAATTCAGGATAGTTAATGGGGTCTATCTATTCCAGGGGACAATGTGGTGGTCCATAAGGCCTTCACTTGATTTCCACGAAATATTTTGGAGTC